AAAAAAAAAAAATGCTTTTCTAAAGGACAGTGATATTTACCCATTAGATGTGACACAAGAGCGTAATCAATGCGAAATGCCGATGTTGTTACATTGTATTGCTGATATCTTTGATTATCATATTGGGTCATGGTGCTTAAATTACCAATAGCTAGCCCCTTAACATGTGCCTCTATTCGTCTGTCTACCTGTCCGTCTATCGGACTGTGCAGAATCTGCGACAAACATATTCCTGTTTACGAAAATCAAAAAATCGCCTATAGATTTGAAACGGAATTTGAATATGAGAAAGCACGCCTAATAAAAACTGAGAGCAGCTTCGCTTTCCATCATTTTTTGCTCGTTACATATACATGAAAGCTCATACACGTTATAGTTTTTCACTTTCAGTCTACAAAAGTAGAAAAAGATTATTATTATTATTATTATTAATTTCGCCAGAGAAATAAATTCTAAGACTAAACTCTTAAAAGCACTAGCATCTAAGGCTATCGGCTTTTTATTAAAAACTCTACCGCACTTGAGATTCGAACCCACGACCATTGACTTGCTAGTCGAGATTCCTCCCCTTCGGCTACTCAGGCGGATAGAGAGAAAAAGATTAGCCATGACCATTCAAATGTGATTCTCGCCTTTCTTTTTAGCCTTTTTGTACAAAAGATTCGGTCAGAGCAGAATATAAGTTTCTTATTTGTTTTCTTTAAGTGACGTCTTTTCGTATTCATCATACAAAAATTTGTCGAGCAACTTGTCGAGCATTGATATTCTTAAGAAAATAAATTTTTCTTAATTTTCCAGAAAATGATGTTACCTTCGGTCAAAGTTCAAGAATGAGGAAAAAATTATACTGAACTCTTTTCCAATTCTCATGGTTTTAGAAAAACTCAATGCTCATTGAAGTGCAAAAAACAAAAAAAAAAATTGATTTATTGCATTTGCTTATATTAATTTTTAAATTCATTGAAAAAAAAAAAATACATTTCTCGTTTTTAGTTTTTACAACACTCAGTAATTATATATATATAGGTTTTGAATTAAAGCTAAAAAACTTGATAAAAAATAAATTTCTGTATTCGTTGCTTTTTTTCTTCTTCTTCTTTTCTACTGATATAAAAAATTATTATTATGATTATTTAAATTTGATTCAATATTTACTCATAAACATTGTGTTTTTTTTTTTTTTTTTAAGTCTATTTTGTGCATAAATAAAATATGACACACTTTGTACTTAAATTGTAATAACAGAAAGAATTAAATAATCTTAAGATATAGGGGACCTTTGACGAAAACCTAGATTTACAAAATATGATTAAAAACCTGCGTAGAGTTTTTTAAATCAAACAATAAAAGAATTATAATATATAGAATTGAAGACCAATTTTAGATATCCCCCACCTCAAGCGCACATATAAAAATTCTTTTCGCTCGGTGTACCAAGCGATTTCATTCCCAGATAAAGATTTTGCAAAGCTAAGACACGTTTGTGATCGATAACTTAGATCATTAATCATTAATCTAGTCTTATTAATGGAATATATATTGGAACTTATTAGATTTTACCTTACGTTCATTACATTTTTTATCGCTTATGGCTGCATCACGATTATTTTCAATATTAAACTGCAGACTACTTTGAGGCTTTAAGCAGTAGGTTTAGATATTATGGCACATTGGCGCAAAATCACTCACATGTTCATATTTCATTCTCATCCACAAACCTAGAAAATATATGCGAATTCTCCTTTTTCTGTGTATGACTATCGTGATCATTTTAAACATAAACAGTACAAGAAATATGGAGAAATTAAGACCGAATCATGTACTACTTAAAGATATATAGCCTAATTATCTCGCACCAAACAACATTGATAAACGCACACTTTTCGTCAGGTGGTACACAAAACACTACGCTTTCACGTCATTTTATACAAGGAGAAAAAGTATCTATATATATGTATATATATATGTATATAATCGTCATGCGTTCTTAAAGAGTAAGTGAATTGTTTTTTAATTTCTAAGATGTTAAGAGATGGCATTATAGAATAGCAACAATTGAAAAAATATACCTTACAAGCTATAACGTCCCTTACCCAACATTCTTTTCAAAACATTCACGCATGACTGAATATCCTCTGAGTCGTTTAACCAGCTGTTTAAACTGCGTTCGAGCCTGTGTAAGCGATTGATGCCTAAACGCGAGCCACCATATTTAATTGCGGCTATGCAGCTACAGGTTAAAGTACGAAAGCACTGTTTCCTTATGGCATTATGTATGAAATTATCCCAATTTGGGGTGGCTCGCACATAAGGCCAAGCCATGCAAGTATAGTCAATTAAGGCATCCCAATGACTTGAATCTTGTAATTGCTTAATATGTTGACTAAGCAAACGTCTAAATTCATTTAAATGCAGAGAAGCTCTTGTATAGGCTGTGCTATCAGTTTTCTTGCATAGCCTAGACGTGGGCAAGGATTTGAAAATCATACGTTTAGCATGCAGCAGCTCCTGTTCCATGTATCTAAAAAAAATATATGTAATATATATATATATATATATGTTCCCTTCTTTTTTCGTAATTATTGAATTTCTAACTTACTGTATGTCAGGCATTGGTAGCTGAGCTCTCAAATCTTTTTCAACCTTAGCATCACCGGCAGCTAATTCATTTACAATTAATTCAACCAATTGCTGCCGAGTTAAGCCTTGAAGCAAAGTATGTAGTGGAATTTCATCACTTGTTTGCGCTATAGGCCTTTCAAGTTCTTGTAAGTTGGGTTTCTTGAAATTCGGACTGCTCGGCCATAATTCTTGGCTAGCGTCAGGTTTGATGGGTGAGATACCGTCGTAAGCTTTCGGCTCTGGCGGCAGCGTACCCATAGCTAACCGTTTGCGGGGTGAACTACGCAAAATCATGCTCGTGCTCATTGGCACTTTCGTAGGTGTTCTTTGAAATGGGCTGCGCACATTGTTCGCAGCAACAGCAGCCGCCTTTTCAGGCGTCCATTTTAATAACGGTTTACGTCTCCCTCGCTGGCGTATTATTAGTTCATCTGGCGAATGCGTCAAGCTTGCATAGTCTTGAGCTAAAGCTACATTGGTAATATTATCTACAGGCGTTGCAGCAAAAATCGTGGCTGGTTCATTTGGTCGATTAGCATTTGTTGGTGTCGTAGCCACTCGTAAAGGCTCTAAGCGATCAGCTAAAACTGTACGTATTCCTTGTCGCGGCGCCGCCATATTCATTAATGGTTTTAAAGTTACACTTGACGATCTTTCCGCTCTCCCAATCTACCCTTGCCAATATTAAGCGCTCAAAATAAGCAGCTGGTACAGTTTTTATTTTTTATGTGTATCACATCTGGTAAATACTTTTTTTGTAGCCTTAACAAAATGGTTTATTGTTGCCAAATTTTTTTACTTCTCTATTTTGCATTGTTACTGCTAACAAAAAATACTGCACTAGCTAAACTGCTCATAATTGGGTTTAGATAGCTAAGGGCGTATCTTGTCAGCTGCTTTTTTCATAATGCGGATTCAGTCTGCTGGCATTGGAGATTGTAGTATTAGCTAAAGTAATAGAACGTTTGACACACAACAGCTTGCATGGATTAATCTAATCTAAGCGATCAACAGAGTATGTTCCTGTAAGAATTATGCCGTTTACCAACACTGTTTCTAGTAGCAAATTGGAACGACAAAACACATACGGTATTACTTTTAGAGCATTAAAATAAACATGGCACCACCTTTACAGCTACAATTTCACACGGTACTGCTTTTACAGCAAAATTATATTGCACATACAACAGCTGTTCAAATGCAATTGACAATAAATTGTGTAAGCCGCGCATTCATTAATTTGCTTTGTATGGTTGTGTGTAATTTTGATTTTTTTGTAAGGAATTATGGAACATTTAAAACAAGTTATTAAAGCTTATGAAAAATGGGTGGCGTCCAATCCTGAAGTTGTATGTGATGTGGAAACAACAACAAAATGGGTTTCTTATTTTATAGCAGGTATGCATTATGAATAATTAACCGGAATTTGTGTGTCAATTAAATGATAAAAAAAAACTTAGGACGCATTTCTAATTCATCTGTGGTCAGCGAACTGGTATACACCCTCTCTAACATAATGGTTTTGTACAATGATCGTATTATACACAATGCTAGACAATTGACGGATGCTGCTAGGCCTGCAAATGACGCTTTGGAAAATGACGATTTTCTAGACGTTTCGGGCAGCAAAATTTGCTATCGTCTAAAGGTCATATTAACCACACTTGAATACTGCGAGGTGTTTTTAGAAATATCAGCTAAACGCGTGTTCGGTAATCGCGGCAAATGGATTATTATTGCTGTACTGCAAACGATGAAAGCTTTGGGACGATGTTTTATCTTAATGCATTCAACTGAACGAATTATTACGACACCAACTTTACCCACGTTAAATAGAAGGACTTTTGCAAGAAAAGGCAATGTCAGTAAGTCAAGTGGCAATAACAAGAGTGCATTAAACGCACAAAGTTATGTTTACATATTAAAACGTTCAGGACGAGTTGTCCGCCGAGTTGAAGGAGCTCTACCTATGCAATGTCGTAGCTTCAAACTAAATGAGGAATTAAATGAAATGCGGCGTGAACAAGTGCCAAAAATTCTAATTCAAGCCGAATACATGTACATAGCTAAACCGTTGATACATTTGGCCGCCATGGGCATGTTTGGCCAAAAATCTTGGAAACAATATATACTTGCTTTGGTGATGGATTTAGCTAGTATTAATATATATCAAAGGAACCGTCATTTGATGACTAAACGGCAACAATTGATATTATCCCATCGTTGCATTAATTTGTTGCTTTACATCGTGCGATCGCCGGTTTATGAGTGTTATACTCAATCTAAATTAAATAATTTCTTAACTTTTGCGACCAATAGCATACCTATTTTTAAAATACTAACTGAACCTCTTAAAGAATACATTCCTCATTGGCAAAATACTTACTACTACTTGTGGTCAACATAAACCGTATCGTTTAACAAATGGTTTTTTTAATATTCATTAAGGTTACTAATATTTTGTTTTTAGTATATGGATGCGGGCGGTGTATGTGTTTTAAAATGAAATATATATATATTTTAATTGAAAAGGTGCGAATGTATGCGAAGTGTAAAGAAAATTGCCATCGTTATAATAATTAATATATATCGATATTCCTTTTTTGTTTTTATAAATTAAAACAATATTTTAAAAATATACACAATTTCGTTGTTTTATTTATGTTTGACTCAATTTTTTTTTCCTTTTTCTTACTTCTATTTTTTTCTTCTTTCTTTTAGAAATATGTAAATCTCTTTAGTTGATCTTACATAGGAAAGCAAAGATATATGTGTACATAAACTTATATAAATGTATAATTTTTATTGTGTCGTCTTGTAGTGTCGATTATATATATATATATAAATGTAATCCTTTTTTTCTCTCAGCGTTTTTAATTATATATAACATGCAAATAATGTACATATGTACATATGGCGGGGAAACTTAAACTATGCTTAGGTTATTTGTTAGTTTTGTTGCCCCCAGCATAGCTGTTATTGTAGAGGAGCGGCATAATATTTTGTTCAATTTCTAATGATTGCTTTAAAATTGAACTCATTACAAATTCAGTCGATACTATTAAACATTTAGGATTGCCGAAACGTATTAAATCGGTACATAGATGCATATCATTGGGACATGTAACAATTATGTAGGAATCGAGAGCTTGAGTGTAGATATCTGCAATAGCCTGTGCAGTACGGCGTTTCTCTTCTACTTTGCCTCCTGATGATTCGATCATTCGAACAATTTCAGAACGTGCCGGAAATACATCAGGTGTCACGTAAAAATATTTGCCAGCAAATAAAGTTGAACGTATTGTAGAATTCAGCACTTTTTCCAAAGGGAATTTAAGATTCTCATCCACTGGTATGCAATCGATTTTGTATGGTTCAGCAGGTAGGAATTTGCCAGCTTTAGCACTATCCACCAGCCATTGGGATTTGACTACAAAATCAACATGACATACCGCTTGTATAAGTTTACAGGTACGATTTTCACGGGTCATCACTAAATAGGTAGCCTCAATGGGATTGTCAACTACAATGCCACCCAAAGAACTAAAAATTTCAATCATTCATTACGAATTGTTTTTTTTATATCATTTACTATTTAAAACTTACAGTACAACCTTTTTCAAAGCTTCTACATCGC